AGAAAGGTATGAGGATAGTTAACTCCAAGGCAGGATCAAAGTGTCCCTCACAGGCGATCTGAGTAGGGGAGTAGTTTTCTGCCCAACAGACCAGGAATCCTGTTTAGAGAAAGGGCTTGATTCTTCCTTTACTTGGATCTCGAGGGGCTTTGGCAGAGTAGTTTTTGTTTTGTTTTGTTTCTTCTGTTGTGCATATTTAAGGCACACACAGTGTTTTGGGTGACTATTGAAATGAGGTGAATTAACACGCCCACCTATTTGGTTCCCATTTGGGGTCAGGAATGCCTCAGGATCCCTCTCATCAGAACCCAGAACACAGTACGGTGTGGTGGGTTTCCAGCACCCCATCTGCAGAACATTACAGCTAAAGGTTCACACCCAGTAACCAACATCTCTTCTCACACCTGTACACACTCACAACTCCAGAACTGTGCTGCTGATACGCTTGAGTGTGGCCCTTGAGCGTCACATGCTAGTGGGGTTGTGGGAGCTTGTTCTTCTCTGCCAGCCCTGTTTCACAGCAGGCTATCTTCCCCCTGAGCCGCCATGTTTTCAGGGCTGATAGTGTCCCATGGTACTATGTTTACACGTTTCCTTTAGCCGCTCACTATGGGTGGCTGCCATTCCATGTTTTGGCCATTGTGAACTGAATATTATGGATTTTCCAACCTACATGTCTCATCTCCTCTGGATCTGTACCCAGAGTCAGCAGGGTTCAGTTTTAGGGTGTACCATTTTTACATTTCCAGGAACTCACCCCACGATTTTCATAACCTGCCACTCATGCCCCACTCCCAACACACACAGCCGTAAAGCCCCTCTTCTGTCTCTCACCAATGCTCACAATCTCATCTGTTCAACGATGACCATCAAATGGAGCTAGGCAACATCTTCTTGTCGTGTGTGCATGCGTGTGTGTGCACGCGCAGGTTTGCACACCAGTGTGTAAGGGAATGCATGCACCTGCACACATAGCAACTTGAGGCCAACACCCAAGAGCCCTCCTCTGTTTATTTATCCCTAGGTGACTTTTTTGAGACAGGGTCTTTCCTTGAATCTGGAGCTCGACCGTTCTGCTAAGCCCGCTAGTCAACGAGTTCCAGGCACCTGTCTGCCCCCGCCCTCCTAACAGTGGGTTATCCACATGCACCACGATTCCCATCTCTTATGTGAGTGCTGGAAATAGTCTCAGGTCCTCATGTTTGCCCAGTAGGCACTTTGCTGAGCCACCATCTAACCAGCTCTCCTTGTGATTTTTGTGCACATTGTCCTGACAGTCTGTGACGTTAACATCTCTCCTTACCTGTTGGCTATTTGCACATCTTCTTAGAAGACGTCTATTCAGACCCTTTGCCGGTTGTTCAGTCAGGCCGGCTTTCATTTGCTAGTTAAATATGCAATAATTTAAAATGACTTCGAGGAGACACAGCATTTTTTTTTCAGCTGCTTTAGTCGACAAAGTGAAATCGGAACAGGGCTGACATTTTCCCAGCATTTGTGCCGAGTTTTGACGGTGGGGTGACATACCCATGAGGGCGCTCATTTGCTTGTACTCCTAGGACAAAGTAGCACAAACTGCTTGGATTAAAATACCTGAAACTCTCCCCCACAGTTGTAAAGGCCAGAAGTTGGCTATCAAATCATGGGCAGGGCTGTGATCTCTGAGGCTTGGGGAGAGTCCTGTTTGTGACTCCAGGGGGCCTCCTGGCATCCTTTACCTTGTAGCTGTATCTGGCCAGCCCCACTCATCTTCCTGTGTCTGTCTGTATTTTCCACTATATGCTCCTCCCTTTCTGTAAGGGTGTTATGCTGGGAGATTAGGATGGGCTCTCCTCAGGCAGGGGTTTCAACAGGGATCCTGTCTCCAAACAGGGTTTCAGGCACAAGGGATCAGGACGCTGATGAGATTTTCGAGAAAGACACAGTTCAATGGACAATGAAGAGGAATAAATAGAGTTTTACATCCAAATGGGTTTTCATGTCAGTTATTCAGTTAGCCTAAATAACAGCCAAAGAATTCATTTAACGTTGAACAGTAAATGGTCTAAACTACTCCCTTTGACCTTTTCTATTTGTTTGTTGCTGGGCAACTGTAAAGAAGACCCCTCTTCAAGGTAGCTAGACTGAGTGTCACTGGGAGTTTCTGGCCCACGTCACCTCTAGGTGGATCAGGACTATGGCCTCACAAGACTGGCTTCAGGTTTAATGGGTTTAACTCCTACCAACTTCCACTGGATGTTGTCTATGGCACAGAAAGAAGTCATAAAGGGAGACCCAGGGCCACTGATGCCCAGACACAGAGGACAATAGAGCTCAAAGCATCCTATGCCTTCAAGGCAGGTTACAAGGGGAGACACTGCATCTGAGACATGTGTACCTCAAACTCTCCCCTGGACCCTGGACCCTGGACCCTGGACCACAGCCCACAGTCTGAAGTCTATACCTGGGACCCAGTATCAAAGGTTCTGCTCCATCTGAGCAGATTTGCTTCAATGTAGCGGTGGAATACCCGCTCACTCCCTGGGAAGTGTGCAGACACCTGACTTAACCAAAACACCACCCTGCCTGTGATGGGAACTGTCTCCTTCGTTTGAGGTCTCCACCCAAGTGCCTCACATGTAGGGGGCCCCATTAGTGTGCTGGAAAGATGAGAAGGGCCGTAAATGTTATATTCTCTGGTGTTCAAACAAAGTGCCAGAAACATGAGGAATTATATTGATTCATGGTTTAGAGAAACCTTCCGAGATGAAGAAATATGGAGAAACCAAAAATGACTTGGCCGATATCTTACAGCACTCCGTATCCCCACCCAAAATCTGAACTAAAATCTTTTATCATATTCTAGGGTTACACCTGGCAGGCAGTGTTGCTGAAGACCAAAGCTGGGGGCAGACTGTGAGGGTACTTGCTGGTTTCCTGCCTGGGAAGGGACGCAAGGAAATGCTACCAGACGGACAAGCAGCTTGTGAAATCAGTGCCCAGTCAGGCTCCAATCTATCTGATTTAGTAAATTCCCTCTTTGCCTTTATACACACTGACCTAAAAAGAAGTATTATCCCCCGGGGTGCCTTTGAGATTGTTTGTTTAAATTAAGTTTCATTTGGATTTAATCTTAACCAAATCTTCAGAGAGCCAGGCAGGCGCCCTGGAAGGAAGCGCGGTTGTGTGCGCGGACCAATCAGAGCGCCCCGTAGAACCTGGAGGACCCCTCTGCAAATGAAGGGCCTGGTAACATCACACATGCACGGCAGTGCAGGCAGGGCGCTGGACGGTGGTTTATGGTCTAGATCATTGTATTTTTATTACACTCGTAAAATCTGTGTTTCTCCTCATTTTTGTAATGGCCTCAATGAGCGCCTCGCCACTTTCCAAAGGCACCGTAAATCGCTCTGTGATGGGAGCCCTGATTTCGGCGGAGCGGGTCGGAAACACGCTCAGAATTTTCATCTCACCGGACTGGCACCAGGGCGGAAAGAAGTGTGGGGGCTCAAGTGTGATTCATACTTATTTGCGGGCTCTTTTTTTCGTAAATACTTCAGGAGGTTTCCATTAAATTCGAATATAAACGATACACAGTGAGACGCCTGAAGAGTATTGACCGTTTCAGTCCCGCGGGAACGTAAATCAATATGGAAGGAGAGAAACATTGCACACACGTCTGACGTTTTAAGATGTAATTTAATGGAGGAATTTAATAACATGAATGGTGATGAGAAGGCATTTTCTGTGAGATGCGCGCGTCCCTTAAATAATAGGACCTCAATCGGATTTTTATGTCTGCATTTAAAAGGAGGGAAAGCTCGCTTGGATACCAATTTTACACCTAGACACAGTTGCTTGTAGATATTTCTGTGGCATTTGTTCAGAGCATGGCAGGAAAATCAGAGCCTTCCTCACTCTGAGCATACTGTACTGGGCTGACAAAACTCTGCCCCAGCCTTGCCTGGGTAACAACCTTGTAAATCACCCTCAACATGTAGCTCAAAGGTCAGCATCTGGAAGTGATAGCTTGTGTTGGCAAACATGGTGACTAAGGGAGCTTTTGTCAATGACAAACAGGCACTTGTGTGTTTAGAACAATTTTATGTGGCTCCTGCAAATTGTTGACTGAGTTTTGGATCCTTGTCATCTGAATGGTATGACAGTGTAACTGGAGTTCTTAATTGTTCTAAATAATAAAAAAAAAAAAACCCTGGAGCCAGATATAGAGGAAAATGCCGAGAGATCAGAGAGAAGAAGGAGCAAGACAAAGCCACCTTTACTTCATTAGCTTCCCAATGGAAAAAGAGAGCAAGTTCCTGGTTTTATCCTCCGCTTATATCCTTTCTCTTCCAGCCATCTTACTTCCTGTCTCTGCCCAGCCATCTCATTTCCTGTTTCCACCCAGCCATCTCACTTCATGTCTGTACCAGACCTCTATGGTTAGCTAATGGCAAGCTCCATCCTCTGATCTTCACACAAACTTTATTTGGGCAAGTAAGGTATCACCACATCACAGTGTTTGGGAGCAGGCTCTGTGGTGCTTTCCCTAAGAACCCGCTTCTGATAGGAGGACAGTATCCATATGGCAACCTCCTTTAGTCTGCTCACAGAACAGTGTTCAGTCAGAGCAGGTTTTGTGTTACCAGCTAGAAAGTTTCTTTTATAGACCAAAAGTTGCTGGGCATGATGACACAGGCCTTTAATCCTAGCACTCAGGAGGCAGAGGCAGAGGCAGAGGCAGAGGCAGAGGCAGATGGATCTGTGAGTTCAAAGCCAGCCTGGTCTACATAGTGAGTTCCAGGCCAGCCAGAGCTACATGATAAGACTCTTGGTTGAGGGTGAAACTCAGAGTGTTTTTTTGTTTTGTTTTGTTTTATTAATATCTCATGGAACCTGTAGAACATGGGGCTAGTGTATTCAGAGGTGTGAAGCAGTTGCAGGATCCAAGGAGAGAGAAATGAGTTCCCCCGTGAGTGGGATGATTGTGGCTGGTCTCTAAGGGTCTGTGTCACCTGCAGATGGTGTGGGAGAGCGGCTGTGCAGTCATTGTCATGCTGACACCCCTCTCGGAGAACGGCGTCCGGCAGTGCCACCACTACTGGCCTGATGAAGGCTCCAACCTCTACCATGTCTATGAGGTACCGGGACTCGGCGCCTACTCGGGGGCCTGGGCAAGAAACACATGTTTCTCATCTTCACCAACAGCCCAACCAGTTGCTGTGTGAGGCTAGGACATCCCCAGGGTGGATTGTTAGCACATTTGACTTCAGAGGGGCCCAGGTGTTGTGCAGCCAATAGAGACCCAATGCCCTACATGGCTACATAGTTAGGGATAAACTCGGGAGTGAATGCAGGCATCCCAAATCACAATCGCATAATTCTAGATGCTGGTAGGAAGGAAGCAATGCCCATCTTGGAAAGGCGGCCCAGGTCCAAATAACAAGCATCCAAGCAAGGTCCATTTTCACAGAGAACACTGCCCATGTCCGAGTAGCTGGTGGGTTTTCTTGCCTAAGCCATGGGGATCTATAGTATTTGACCTTCTTGCAAGGGATAGATTTCTCTTGCTGGGTTTCCTACACACATTGAATAAAAGCAATAACTGCAGTGTTCAAGCTAGGACGAGAACGCCTCCTCTGGCTGTTTGCACATTAAAATTAGAGGCAAACGGCTCACACAAAGAGCAAGTTAGAGGCTTGATAGGAGCCCTAACAGAGTATGGCTAGCAAGCCATAGGCTTTAATCTGGGGAGAGGTAGGACCCTCCTCTCACTGTATCCTGAGTCGTAAGTCCTCTGATCTATACCAGACACTGGTTAAAACAGAGTGGAGAGGGGCGCTTGGCGCAAACCAGACCTCACCCATTTGTCTCCTTTGCCATATTCCCCCTCTCCCCGAACACACCACTGTGTTCCGCAATCTTGGGCTCACATGCTTTGCTGTCCTGTCCCCACCAGGTCAATCTAGTCTCTGAGCATATCTGGTGCCAGGACTTCCTGGTGAGGAGCTTTTACCTGAAGAACCTGCAGACCAACGAGACCCGCACGGTGACCCAGTTCCACTTTCTGAGTTGGTATGACCAGGGAGTCCCTTCCTCCACGAGGTCACTCCTGGATTTTCGCAGGTAAAACAAAGAGCATGCTGACAAAGTAATGCAAGTAGAGTGCGGGTTGGGCCAGGTCTCTGGGTTTGTTTTGTTTTTGTTTTTTAAGAAGCTGTATCTGCAATGTAACAACTGGGCAGGAAGGGGAGGGAGACAGGAAAGGGTATAGCAAGTGCCAACATTCAGCATGAGATATTTTCTGTCACTAGTGGTGTTAAATGTGAGGGGGCGGGCATCGTAGAACTCTGGAAGTGTGGTCACAATTGGATAAGATTCTGTAACCCACCCGAGATTTATATTCCATAAAGTTTTGGAAGTCAAGTCAGATTTCTAATTTGGCTACTCGTCTGCCAGCCAGGCTAAGGAAATTCTGTCAGGCAAAGGCCAGATTTTAGAATGGAGAATCTTGACTAAACAGCCTAAATACAGTTAGCACAAAAATGTGTTTGTGTTTAGTACAGTTTTGAAACCAACAGTCTTTTTAATGCACTTTGTTTTTTTGTTTGTTGGCCTAGTCAGCCATCCATCCAAAAAAAAAAAAAAAAAAAAAAAAAAAAAAAAACAAAAAAAAAAAAAAAAAAAAAAAAAAAAACCAAACCAAAACAACAACAACAACAAAAAGTCTCATTTCCAAGTGTCTTTATTAGGCAGTTGAGATGCTAGGCTTTCTTACAGGAAGATACTGACAATGTAAACTGAAGTAAAATGTGAGGTAGGCACCTACTGCTGTTTGCACATCAGGCTGGGGAGAGCTTAGCGCCACACAAAGTGCCAAGAGTGCCCAGCTGCCTATCCACGTCAGTGCGGAGTTCTCTATTCCATGTGTAGTTGACTGGAAGTCCACCCACCCAAAAAAGTTCTCAGACAAGGAGCTAGAGATAACTAGGGCACAGTGTCTGTTTCACAGAATGCTGTGTCACCAGATGATGTGACAAAGAGTTCTCACGCTAGAGGCTAAAATGAGTATTGAGATGGAAGTGCACCAAGACTGACCTGCATTGCTCAAACTTGTATGTTACAAATGCAAAAGCTTTATTATGAAACCACTTTGAGAAAACTGAGGAGGAGGGAGTGGGAGACAGGGTTTCCCTACCTAGTCCCTGTCCGTTCTGGAATTACAAAAGTGAGGCTGGCCTTGCCACTCACAGAGATCTGCCTACCTCTGCCATCCAAGTGCTGGGAATAAAACTTCCTTACCTGAATCATCCTTAGGAAAGAAATTCCATGAGTGAAAGAGTTTGAGGAAAGACAGGAATTTGGTATCAAGGCCAGTGGCTCTTGCCCTGCTGTCACCTCTCCTATAGGTGGAGGCAGAAACCAGAGAATATCCC